GTCACCTCAGTTTCTTCTTTGACAGAAGGAGAATTTTAATAGTTTCTACCTCATGGGTTGATATTACACAGGCTGAACAAAATGACTGGATCAGGGCGAGTGTTCTCTAGCTACAGCTTTAATAACCTGATAATCATTGGTAGGATCAGTTCTTTTTTATTATCTTCCCAGAGAAACTGCAGTACATGTAGGGTTATAGAAAAAGCTCCCATCATGACTGCTTTTTTTTTTTTATCGTAAGGCATTTTACGAAGAGTACTTATTTTAAGTTTGTATTCTGCAGGCATTGGTGTCTTGCTAAACTCTGGGCAGTATTTATCTCAAGCAGTATATCATCCACATGTTCATTTATGCATGCAGACTTTCAACCCCCTCCGAGCTGTGAGAACAATAGGCACTTTAATAGTCTGAAGCAAGAAGGATATTAGCTCCATGAATCTTTATTTTAAATTACATTTCTGAGTTAGAGGTGTCAGAATGGTAAAACAAGTTAAGCGAGATTGTATTCCCCAGTAGGGCTATTGATGTTGGTTACAAATAAATTGCTGGTGCAGGTGATGATAGCAAAGTCCATGCCATCTTTTATTTAGCAAAATATTTCTCTTGTTAACAGCTCTTTTTGTTTCCTTTCCTTTCTTCTGTTTCACATTAATCATGTTTGACAAGGTGCCCAATGTCAGACTAAAAAATATGGCAGCATCCAGTTGGTTTACCAGCCAGATGTTTGGCCTCACATTGGCTAAAACATCTGGATGTGTAACGAAATGTTGCACATTTTTCATCCAGTTATTTTGTGTTGTGTTATTCAACAAAGCCAAGGAATAAACCCCAGGATTCTTTGTTCTGCTAGGGAATAGGTTATGCGACCTTAGATATAAAGTGTCAAGGCCAAGCTCTCACTAGGCCCCTTAATAGTTGCATAGCAGGGCAAAATTAGGATCAGTTGACATAATATGTGTGGATTCAGTATATAGATTTGAGATCCTTGTATGGAAAAGAACTCTGCTCCCTTTACTGAGCCCCACTATGGCCAAACAATATAGACTTTAGAGCCCCAGATTGTAGAACTACATCAATTATAATAACAACTAAGATGTTGAGCGCTGACTAAGGTCCAGAGCTCTTGTATGCATCTTGCATGGATTTAGAACTAAAAACAATCCTGAGAATTAAACACTGTTAATTTTCCCATTTTGCAAAGATATAACTAAGCACCAGAGAAAAGACTTGTCCAAAGCCATAAGATCATAATATGAATTTTGACAGTTTAATTCTAAAGTCTGTGTACCTTTAGCCTGTTCACTTTCTCTAAAAGTATTTATTCACTTTCTAGAATATCACTTACTAACCTTGGTTTTATCATTTATAAAATGGGGATAGCATGGTCTATTTTAGAATTATGTAGAGCATTTAACGTTATTGGCTTAAGTTAATTATTAAATATAGAAGTAGGTATTGGCCGACGCCACAGCTCAATAGGCTAATCTTCCACCTGCGGCGCTGGCACACCGGGTTCTAGTCCTAGTCGGGGTGCCGGATTCTGTCCCGGTCGCTCCTCTTCCTGTCCAGCTCTCTGCTGTGGCCTGGGAGTGCAGTGGAGGATGTCCCAGGTCCTTGGGCCCTGCACCCACATGGGAGACCAGGAGAAGCACCTGGCTCCTGGCTTCGGATCAGCACAGCGTGCTGGCCGCAGCGGCCATTGGGGGGTGAACCAACGGAAAAGGAAGACCTTTCTCTCTGTCTCTCTCTCTCTCACCGTCTACTCTGCCTATTAAAAAAAAAAAAGTAGGTATCTTTATGCTGTTGTACAATACTTGTGGTCAAATAACATAGATTAGATCTGAATTATATTTTCTGAAAATCTTACTTCTTGAGAACCTGTCCAAAATAATCTTTGATAGTTTTGCTAGAAATTTAAGACCTTTTGCTCATTTTGTTACAGGTTATTACTTAAAATAATTGAAAACCTGCAAGTTATCATATTTTTTGTGCTTCATTTCAGGAGGACAGTATGCTCTAAATATGCAAAATGCTATTTGTGTTTTCTTTCACTGAACGCTGTGTATTTTTTTTAAATCTTACTCAGAAGGTATTTTTTAAAAGATTTATTTATTTACTTGAGAGGCAGCATTTGGAGACATAGAGAGGGAGAGACAGAGAGAGAGGTCTTTCATCTGCTGGTTCACTCGCCAAATGGCTGCAATGGCCAGAGCTGGGCCGATCCAAAGCCAGGAGCCAGGAGATTCTTCCAGGTCTCCCATGCGGGTGCAGGAGCTCAAGCACTTGGGCCATCTTCTACTGCTTTCCCAGGCCATAGTAGAGAGCTAAATTGGAAGTGGAGCAGTTGGGACACAAACCAGCGCCCATATGGGATGCCGGCACTGCAGGCGGGTGCTTAAACCACTGTGCTGCAGTACTGGCCCCAACAGTGTCTGTCTTAAAGGGAAAGGATGTGTTTAGCTCAGTCTCTTCTTCCTTTTTTTTCATTTTCCTTTCTTCCTCCCTCCCTCCCTCCCTCCCTCCCTCCCTCCTTCCTTCCTTCCTTCCACAATGAAATCTATATAATTCTGTAAGTAGGCATTATTACTATTACCAATATTATTATTAATAATATTAGTTTGTTTTTGTAGTCTAGAAAACAAGGTTTTAAATGAATTGCATCATGTCTCTTCATAAAAATAATACTGAGTATTTTAACTCTTAGTATTTGAAGCCCAGTGTTTAATCCAATAAAGCATGTAATAGCACTATTACTAGTATAAAGAGCCACACACTATGGGCCAGATACATTGCTAGGTACTTTGCGTACATTTTATAATTTAGATCCTAGAAACTCTTGCGGTAGAGCTAGTGTGTCATAGCAGGTAAAGCAGCCCCTACAATGCCGGTATCCTATGTAAGTGCTGGTTTAGTCCCGGCTGCTCCACTTCTGATCCAGCTCCCTGCTAATGCCCCTGGGAAAGCAGTGGAGAATGGCCCAAGCACCTGGGCTCCTGCACCCATGCTGGAGACCCAGAAGAACCTCCTGGCTCCTGGTTTCTGTGTTACCCAGCCTTGGCCCTTTCTGCCATTTGGGAAGTAAGTTAGCAGATAAAAAATTCTCTCTCTCTCTCTCTTTCTCTGCCTTTCAAATAAATAAATAAATCTTTTTTATTTTTCATTTATTTATTTTTTTAAGATTTTTTTATTTATTTGAGAGGTAGAGTTACAGAGAGTGAGAGAAACAGAGAGAAAGGTCTTCTGTCCGATGGTTCACTCCCCAATGACTGCAACAGCCGGAGTTACGCCGATCCGAAGCCAGGAACCAGGTGCTTCTTCCCAGTCTCCCATGTGGATACAGTCCTTGGGCCATCTTCTACTGCTTTCCCAGGCCGCAGCAGAGAGCTGGATTGGAAGAGGAGCAGTTGGGCTAGAACTGGCGCCCATATGGGATGCCAGCACTGCAGGCAGAGGATTAACCCACTGAGCCACAGCGCCGGCCCCAGTGAATCTTTTTTAAAAAAGATTCTTCTCATGGTCAGTTGGGAATCCATGGGCAAATCAGCATTTAGGGAGATAGACAAACACACACATACATATACTCTGAAACACGCATACAGAGAGGGAGAGAAGAGGAAATACCTCCACGCATGTGCATCACTTTTAATGACCTTTGCTTGGTTGATTTGCTTCAGAGAATCCCCCTTTTCTCATTGATGATTAGGGGTAAATTTGGTCATCGCTTCTGATAAGGTGATGATCCAAGTTGACATGTTTTAAAGGGAGCCTTCCGATTGTGCTCACTCACTGTTGGACTGGTTTCTACAACAGCTAAAACATCTCTTATCAACAAACAGACTGATTAAATTGCAGGAGTGTGATGTTTTCAGACTCAAAATGAAAGTGACACATTCTTGTTCTTTTAGTGGCCTCATAAAAGTCAAATGTTTAATCTCAGGAGGAATTTTAAAGGATGGAAGTAAAACCTTAATGAGATGCAACATAAATAATAGAAGAAGCCCCTGTGCACAAAATGGCTAGTGACAAGGTCTCTGCAAGGAAGTAAACTATAAAATAGAACATTTTAGGAATCTATATTATACTGTTAAGCATTATGCTTTAAAAATAGAGTGTCAATAAGACTCAACACTTAGTAAATAGAAGTTAGACAAGGAGTATCTATATCAATGCTGTTTCTGCAAAACACAAGAAATGCAACACTAAAAACAATTTATAAAAAATAAATGACTATTTCTAAAACTTGTAATCCATAAAGCCTGAGAAGTTATTTGGGCCATAGCAAAAGATTCTTCCTAAGCCCTTTCCCGTCCTTTTGTGTAGCTGGGCCGCCTGTTCCGCTCGCATTGCCTGTGTGTCCATGTCCATGCTCAGATTCACCGATGCTGTTTTTCTCTCCGCAGTTGGTACACAGCGGCACTCATGGAATGCTAGACGTCTTACTGGAAAATGTTGTTCAGGAACGGGCATTTCGGCTAGCAGTTAAGATGCTGGTTAGGATGCCTTCGTTCCATATTGAGTGCCTGGGTTAGTTCTGGCTCCTACTTTTGATTCCAGCTTCCTGCTACAGCACCCCTTCCATAGCCACATTGACAGCTAAGGTTCCTGCTACCTGTGTGGGGATCTGGACTGGATTCTCAGTTTCCAGCTTAGGTTTCCTCCCAGTCTTGGCCACTGTAGACATTTGGAGAACAAGCAAGCAAATACATCCTCTCTCTTTCTCTCTCTCTCTCACTCTCTCTCTCTCTCCTTCTCAAATAATTTTTTAGAAAAACGTATTTGGTAAGTGTGAGAGTAAAAGTGAATTGTTAAAATGCTACAGTTAACTCTGTAACTTAACACCACATTGTTTTAGTTTTCTTATCACTCCAAAGTAGCCTCATTTATCACTTTAGAAATGGTGTAACAACACAAATTGTGTTGTGTTGCTAAAGAAAACTTGCCAACTTGTATATAATGTTGGAGTAAATGCTGATACAAGGGCTATATGAAAGCTGACTGCTGATATTCAGCTTCTGCTTCCCGATAAACATCTTGTCCAAGATAGAGGCGATTGTTGTTGGTTTACGATGATTAGGCTTGCAGCTTGGTCCGTCAACAATGATACTTCTATTTATGGATGATTTCTGTCATTGTAGCCTTAGAAATTCATGTCAGGTTATTTGCCAAAGGAGAGAAACAAGATTCGGTTATTGGTGAGAGAAAAATAATAATTTAAATTTGCTTGTTCTTAATGCTGATTTTGACAGATCAACAAGAGTTAATGATGTGGATGGAGTCTGCCTGCTGTGCCGTGTTTGTAGATACAATGTGGCTATTCCTCTTGAATTCTAGGCTTGTTTGACTGCCCTCTATCTCTGTTCCCTCCATCCTTCTAATTCTTCCTTCCATCGTATTTCCCGAGTTCTCTAATTGGCTTCTTTTCTACTGCATACCAAGTTACCCCATGCCTAATTATAATTCACACTATAAATCTAGTGGAAAAGACACAAGGTAAACCTTGACGGAGAAGAATGTAAAGCTCAATTATTGCATGACTTCTTAGTGATATTGGTGTCCTCAACAAGCTAAGGCGACTTTACTCCTAAGAATTCACTGATATTGGGGCTGGCATTGTGATGTGGCGGCCTAAGCTGCTGCAGGTGACACGGCATCCCATGCGCTTCAGAAACTGCTTCCTCCTAATGCACCTGAGAAAGCAGTGGATGATGGCTCAAGTACTTGGGCAGCTGTACCAACGTGGGAGACCTGGATGAAGCTCCTGTCTCCTGGCTTTGGACTGGCTCAGCCCTAGCTGTTGCTGCCATTTGGGGAGTGAACCAGAGGACAGAAATCTGTCTCTCCTTCTCCCTCTCTCCTTCTCTCCCTCTCTCCCTCTCTCATTCTCTCTCCCTCCCCACATCGAAATTCTCCCTAAGAAAGAGAGAGAAACAACAACAATTCACTGCTTCTGTCTATTACTATCAGCTCATCATCTAACAATAACAAAGATATCTTTATGTTAACCAGGATGTGTGTACCCCTTCTCCTGATTTTCATAAGTGTTCCTGGCCTTAACTGGAGGCAACATAACGTCCTGGGAAAATATACAGAGGCATGGTAGGAGGTAAGCTAGTCAGGTCAGTCCCTGATCAGTCCCATGCTGACCTTTGAGACCAGGAACAATTACTTAAAACTAAGTATCTGGCCGGCGCCACGGCTCAATAGGCTAATCCTCCGCCTGCTGCGCCGGCACATCGGGTTCTAGTCCAGGTCGGGGCGCCGGATTCTGTCCCGGTTGCCCCTCTTCCAGGCCAGCTCTCTGCTATGGCCCAGGAGTACAGTGGAGGATGGCCCAAGTGCCTGGGCCCTGTACCCGCATGGGAGACCGGGAGAAGCACTTGGCTCCTGGCTTCGGATTAGCGTGATGTGCTGGCCGCAGTGCGCTGGCCTTGGCGGTCATTGGAGGGTGAACCAATGGCAAAAAGGAAGACCTTTCTCTCTGTCTCTCTGTCTCTGTCTCTCTCACTGTGCACTTTGCCTGTCAAAACAAAACAAAACAAAAAACTAAGTATCTGAACCTTTTTTATAACATCTGTAAAGTTGAATAGTAATAGCATATTTCTGTCTCCTAGGACTGTTCTAAATCTCATTCAATGTTTATATTTATGAGACAGAATGAGAAGGAGGGAGGAGGGCGGGGAAAAGAGGGAGAGGTCGGCTGAGAGATCTCACTGATGGTCACTACCCCAATGCTGGATTGTGCCATGTTGGAGTTGGGAGCTGGGAACTCAGTCCAGGCTTCCGTGTCGGAGGTAGGGAACCGGTTAGTGGAGTCAGCCCTGCAGCGTCCCAGTGTCTGCATTGGCAGGAAGCTGCACTCAGGACTGGTGGAGTCCGGACTACCCAGGCACTCCAGTAGGGGGTGGGGTGTCTTACTGCTAGGCTAGATGACGGTGCCTGTTGAAAACCTTCAATGAGTTCACGTCATGTGAGCGTGTTCCCTGGGATGGAGGGCTTTCCGTGCCAAAACCGGAACAGTGTCAGGAAAACAAGAGCAAGAAAGACTCCCTCTGTGTTGGGCACTAGCATTTTCTATAATCAAGTGTCAAAAAATGTGGAAAATATAATTCAAAAATAAGCTTATTATGCTGCAAAAGCATTGAAATTCATATATAGTTTTTTCCCAATATGTGTTTTGATGAACTTTTGAACGCATCTGATATGCATGGATTTAAATTTTTTTGCACCAAATTGAACTTATCTTTCAGTTCTGCTTTATTATTTTTTTTTTGAAAAGCAGAATTACAGAGACACAGAGAGAGAATGAGAGAGAGAGAGAGAGAGAGAGAATCTTCCATCCACTGCCTCACTCCCCAAATAGCTGCAAGAGCCAGACAAAAACCAGGAATCTAGAACTCCGTCTGGATCTCCCACCCGGGGAACAGGGGCCCAAGCACTTGGGTTATCTTGCAGTGCCTTCTCAGGCACATGATCAGGGAGCTGGTTCCAAAGTGGAACAACGAGGACTTAAACCGGCATTCATTTGGGATGCTCATTTCGCAGGCAGGTGCTGGCCCCTGTTTGTGTGTGAACTTTTTGAGGTACCTATCTGTTAACCCATTTTAACCTTGAAGCAACTCTTTGAGACTCTCTAGGTTTTAGCACTCAAAACTCAATATCTTAAGTGATCCTTCTTCCTGGGCAAAATGGAATGTTTCTAACTCCAGCACTTTGTGATTACCCACTAGCATTCTTTTCATTCTATGTGTGTTATTAAAATCCTTGTTATGGTACCAAAGGAAAAATAAGTATCAATAAATATTGATTACTTTCTTGGCTCCTAGTTATACTATTGCCATTTTACCTATACAATCGCTGGTGGAACCTGCCTATTTATGGCCTTGCTTATGTACTCTTTTCTTTTCTGTTAAGACTCACATGACCCCATTTTATAATCCCAGGCATCTCTCTTCTATTTCATCTCTTGACTAGTTAGAAACATGTACAGTGGCTAGATTTGCCATCCAAACTGTATAAAGGAACAGAGGTCAAAGATAGTAATTGTAAATATTTTCATCTCTATATGGTATAACTTCCATGTATTAAATAATATGAAGCCACAGTCAGAATAGGGAGAATAAGACTCTCAAATATCTTTGGAAGATTGCTTGTGAAGCACTCTGACTATAGTTTTCCTTACTAGTCAAAAATAATTGTTATTGAAATTCCATTGCAAAGTAATCGAACGATGAAAGAGAATGACTTTTAAAAGACTACATTAGGTGAAATCTATCCTCTTTTATTAATTTACTCTCATTTAAAACCAGGTGGCCTGATTAAAATAAGCCTTTTTTGTCACCTCCTACTATTTCAAGAGAAAGTTCACCCTAACACTCAGTTTCTCATGTCATCTTTTGTTTGGAGTAGGTGTGGGGGTGTGCACTTAGGCGGGTGTAGTTGTTCATTGTGGGAGCTGCGAGAACCCCATTGTTTCTGTTTTTGAACACCCTCAGCTGTGTTGTCCCTAGGCTCTTAATTGCCATGGAGTACAGAACTTTCTCTAGCTCCTGGTTCAGCCGTTGATGTCACACCTTGATGCTACGTCCTTATCTCTCTGAAATTGTGTTTAAAGAGGGTTTGTGTTTAAAATCTGTTTGTAATCTCATGTCATTTAAAAATAAGTCCAGAAAGTAACATGACCTTAATAAAAAAAAAATGAACATCTTAGTTATCACTTTTCTTGTCCATAAACCAGTTTGCTGTTGTCTGAATCTGATGTTGTAAAATTTGCCAGTTGCAGTGGTCTTCATTCCAACCCCTCCCCTTTAATTAAGGTTCCTGGTGATATGCTCTATTTGATAAATGAACGCGTTAAAGGATATCATAAAATGTGTTCATTCTTTGCTGTATTTGGCTGTTAGGTTTACTGTGGATGATTCTGATTGGATTGTGACTTTTATGGAACATTATGAAAGGGATATTATATTTCTATTAAATAATGTGAGGAACTTTTCAATAAAAAATCCTGCCATCTATAATCCCAATCATCTTCTTTCCTTCTAAGTAATGATTGATTGAGTGAAAATAAGAATTAAATATATGACCAGTCTCCAATTTCAAGGTATTCATAAGTTTTAAAGTTCTTTTGAAAATTAAAAAAAAATGTTTTCTTCTAATCCTTAAACCAAACAAAGCAAAGACTAACATCATCTAATGCCATGTTTTGAGATTTGTTTGGTCATTCTTAAAGTGACACATTACACTAGCTTTCCTGGAATTGTGACAAATTCTGCACTGAATGTTTCATATCCTGCAGAGACCTTCCTGGAAAAAAAAAGGAAGAGTTGGCGATACCAACTTTGCTAGTACTGAGAATAAGTGCCTGTCTCCTTTTAACCTGATGAAAATTTTTACAGACACACATACTAGTCCTTGAGAAAGTGATTCTTGGAGGGAGTAAGTGTTAGGAAACTCTCTGTCTCTTTATAGTGGCTGCAGTACCTGCTGAGTTTTCTGATATTTTCTCTTGAGTACAGACCACTGACTCTTAGGTTTCTTCAACAAGGCTGTGCTGGAAGACCATAAGACTCAGAAAGATTTCTTTCTTTTTTTATTTTCTTTTTCTTTTTATTTTTTTGATAGACAGGGTTAGACAGAGAGAGAGAGAGAGACAGAAAGAAAGGTCTTCCTTTTCTGTTGGTTCACCCCCCCAAGTGGCCGCTACCGCCAGCACGTTGTGGCGGGCGCGCTGCGGCTGATCCGAAGCCAGGAGCCAGGTGCTTCCTCCTGGTCTCCCATGCAGGTGCAGGGCCCATGCACTTGGGCCATCCTCCACTGCCTTCCTGGGCCACAGCAGAGAGCTGGACTGGAAGAGGAGCAACCAGGACAGAATCCGGCGCCCCGACTGGGACTAGAACCTGGGGTCCCAGCGCCACAGGCAGAGGATTAGCCTAGTGAGCCACAGCGCCAGCCTGAGAAAGATTTCTTAGTGATGTTAGCTAAGGCCTAACTTTCTCCACTCGGTGTTCTACATTTCAATACTGAAAGAAGATAATATACTGTGAGCATGTTTACCTAAGAATGCGTCCTTAGATGGACACTGAAGACTGAAAATGACCATATGTGTCCAAAGATGTACCTGTCCTATTGTCATATTG